GGGCGTGGCGGGAGGGGGGGGCGGGGCCCACCCCCCCTGCCGTTCCAGTAGTGGGCGGGGCCGGCCCGTCCCCGCGGGAGGGGGGTGAACGCATGCGCGATGCGGCTCTTTTCTCCCGGCCCCGCCCCCCGCGGCCGGGGAGGACTGACGTCAGTCCTCCGGGCGGAGGGCGGGGCGCGGTGCACGCCGGGAAGCCGCCGCCCAAGATGGCGGCAGGATTGAAAAGTTGGTGGTGGTGCTGAGGCGGCTCCGGGCTGGGCCGCGGCCGGGGGCGGGAGCCGGACGGGCTATGGTCACCACCGGGCAGTGAGACCGGGTTGCTGGGCCCCGCCGAGTACCGAGGCCGGGCGAGCACGGCCGCTGCGGGGATGCCCCGGGGGGGGCCGGGGCCGCCGCCGCCGGAGACATGGAGGAAGAGGGCAAGAAAGGCAAAAAGGTGAGAGCCGGCTGCTCTCGGGTCGCCTACTGCTGCTGTGGGGCCGCCCTGGGGGTGGAGGGGCGGCAGCGGGCCCTGCTGTGCCCCCGGGACCGGGGCCTTCCCTCAGCCCCGGGCCTGGGGGGCTGCCCTGTCCCGTGGGTCGTGGCTGTCCGGGGCCTCTATAGCCCACGGGCCGTGCTGCTGAAGCCCTCCCAGGGGTGTCTGGAGCTCCTCTTGGTTTCTCGGGCCTTGTACCTTCGCTGTGGTGGTTTCAGGCTTGGCCCTGTCCGAGCTGAGCGTCTCCCTGTTGGCGTGGCTGCGTGGAGGGCTGGGACCTCGCTTCCCCCACCAAAAAAAACCCCTTCTTTACTGTGTGAATGTAGGGCTTGGGGGGAGCGCTGCCACGGCCTCGCTGCCTTCCAGGTATCCCCTGCACTCGGCCATGGTACGGGTCTGCTCCTACTGCTCTGCTTGTGTCCAGACAGCGATCAATGGTCACGGGCTGATTTACTCCTCTGCTTCTCTGCCCAGGCTGCAAACGAGATGGCTGGTTAATGACACAACTTAAAACGTGTTCTGTAACAGTGCTGGATTGTCTTGGCTACTGATTGTAGTGCTAAACTGGGAACGCTGTACACTCACGTGTCTCTTTTATGCTTTTATGTATATATTGAGTCAGCTATAGTCAGGAGTACTGCGCTGTAACCGCCTCAAAGGTCAGCAAGCTTTGTCTGCATTGACTGCGAACAGGCTGCTCTAGTTTCTCTTGTTTAAACCTATTTTTATGTCATGTGGGGGAGGCGAAACTCGAGCTGAAGGCTGGGGCCGGGATGCTTGCTGAGAGCAGCGCTCCCTGAGTGGGGAGGGGGTGGGGGTTGGCTCTTTCTTTGCAAAAGAAACCCTTCCCTTGGTTTGATGACATAACTGGGGGGAAACAAGCTATTTTTAGTTGTTTTGGGGGCACCTGCAGTAACGGCGATCTCAGAAGGTGGCAGCAGAGTCTCCTGCTGAAACTTTGGTTTGAAGTGATTGGAATACTCACTGAATTAGAAATATTGAATGATTTTTTTTTTCCTGGAGTTACCGTACAGACTTCCCACAGCCAGAAAGTAAAACCACTGACGTCCCCTTGCGATGTCTGGTGACCCGTGTGTGGTGTGGCAAGATCTGCAGCACAGGTGGGAAGAGAAATTATTCATCTGGATATGTCATGTTCCAGCTTTCTAGAAGAAACAACTCCAGGCGCTTGCTCCTGGGGCTGCGGATAATTGTAGAGTAACTTTAGATGTAAGTAAATGCCTGTCCTTTGTGGTAGTCAGTGACTGCAGGGCTAGAAGCGGTGCTCAACTGAAGTACAGAGACAAGATGTGATATGTTCTGGAAGTGGAATTGGTTCTTGTCTCTGCTGAAAAATGTTTTTTTGCTATTTGGGAAAAATCTGGGGGGGGGTTGCCTTAGAAAACAGTGGTCCCTGGACATGCTGCTTGCTTGTGTGGCTGGGTTGGCCACAGAGAGTGCTGTCATACCAGCCGGTGTAATCTGGGACCTTTGTGTGCTGTCTGGGGACTTTTAGTGTGAGAAGAGGCAGCCAGCTCCTGTGGTCGTGGCTCCTCAGGATAACTGAGGCGGCAGGGACCTCTGGAGATGGACTAATCCAGCCTTCTGCTGGGAGCAGACTGTGTCCTGTAGGGTTTTGAGTCTCTCCAAGGATGAAGACACCACAATCTATATGGGAAACCTGTTCTGTGTTCATCCTCACACTAAAGAAAGTTGTTGGGTTTTTTTCCTTATGCTTGAACAGAATTTGCTGCGTTCCAGTTTGTGCCCTGTCAGTGGGAAGAGTCTGGATTCTTCTTTCCAACCCACCAAGTCTTTGTACATGCTGATATGTACAACCTCCTCTTCTCCGGGCTGGATGATCCCACCTCTCCTCGTATGATAGATGCTCTGATCCCTAAACCCTCCTCACAGCCCTTTCCCTAGGCCTGCTCCCACCTGTTCCATTCTCTTGTGTACTGGTGACCCCAGACCTGGCCGCTCCAGTCCCCCCCCTGCTTCCCTGCTGCATTGTAGGTGATCCCAATGGATGAGGAGCATCCCAAGACCCACAGGAGTTGGGCTGCAGCTGGGGAACTTGGTGTTGCACAGGGGTGGCACCTCCTGGGCCAAGGCATGGGCTTACGGAGCTTCCTTGGTGTGAGTTTCCCATCACAGTGGTAGCTAATTAACCCTTGGAGCAGGCGCCTGCAGCTCTTTTGAGCTTGGACAGCTATCAAATGTCGTTAATTTGCCTCTGGAAAGGGACATATTCATCCACTGTGCCACAGCAGTTCCCAGCTACAGGGAAAAACTTTTTCCTGTTGTTTTTTTCGCACACTGTGGATCATTCCAGAAGGCAGGTGTCTGGCCCTCAGCCAGCAGCATTATGGGCTAAAACAGGGCAATTGAGTTTAGCGCTGCTCCAAAGGGTTATTAGGGCAGGTTTGGTCAGGACTAGGCAGAAAATCCCAGCCCTGCTTTGGGGCTAACTCCAGCTTTAGACAAAGCATGTACTTAAACTGGAGCTCTGGAAATCCTGCCAGGAACTTGCGTTCCCCAGCTCTGGCTTTTGGTGGCTCACGCCAACAAGGTTATCCCAACTGGAATGCGGCAGTGGTGGGACGGAGCACATCCAGCTTGCTTTTGGCTGTGGTTGCGAGAGCTGCATCTTAAACAGGTTTGGGATAAAACACCCGTTTCTTGCTAATATTGTGAGGAAGGGTGGATCGATTTGAAGTGTGTTGGCTCCGGTTGTGCTGCAAGGCTTCCTTGATGCTTGCCGGTGCAGTCAGCTGAGCTGCGGGAACCTGCCCGGAGCTGGAGAGCAGCTGGTCTTGTGCCTGGCAGCCTCAGGCGAGGCTGGATGTTCCTGGCGCACTCCTTCCTGGAAAGAGAATGGGTGGAGGGAGGATGAAGGCAGATTTCTTGGCTACCCTGGTTATTATTTGCCTGTAGAGAGGATTTTTCCTGCTGGCCTCTATTGCAGAGGCTCTTACAACATTACAAATCTGTAGGATGGCTGCCAGGCTGCTGCAGGTGATCCAGTGCAAAGTGCTTGCATGGTTTTCCTGAAGTAATTCTCTGTGGGTGGCATCAGGTGTTAGCATAAAACTCCTGACTTTTCCAGCTCAGATATGCCCTAGATCTCTGATGTTGGCTCGGTTTTTCTCTTCCCAGGCCTCTTAACAGCAGCTGCTTCAGCAGTTGCCAGATCTTCCTCGTAAAGCTGATCTTGATCTGTGGCACTGAATTCTTTGTGGTTTTAAATGCTGTTTAATATTGAAGATATTGGCCAGTCCAGCAATTCCTTCTTGTGCAGATCATTGGGAAACGTCTGCCAAAACTGAGCTTGTAACTCTGAAGTGTGCTTTGCTCCACGCTAGAGGACTTGGGCAGCAGGGTCATGTTCTGCGCTGGTGTGTGCGGAGGGGAATGGAAAGCTGAGAAACTTCTGGGGGGAATTGAGGTGGTTATGAAATAGCTGAAATGGAACTGGTTCCCCTTGAAGCTGGGTGCAGGGCAAGCCCCCAGCCTTAGTATAAAAAATACTGAGGGGCTGAGCTGGAAGTCACAGCTCTGTGGGAGTTTCTGCTTGCAGGACAAGTTGCTTGAGCTTCCTTCATTATCCCAAATATCCAGCTTGTTCATGCTGGAATAGCTGCTGGGCTTTGACAAGCCGCTGGCCTGTGTTCCTGTCTGAGACTCTGTTGCTGCAGAGATGGTTCTTCCATGACTTCACTTATTGAGGCCACTTGAGTGAATGCAGTATCTGTATTTTTAGCTTGCTGGGAGGTTTTTAGGCTAACGAAAGCACCCATGTGTACTTGGACCCTACACTGCTTTGCGTATGGAGCCTAGGTCTGTACTTTCAGCTAAAGCAAGCCACGTGAGGATCATTCCTGTAGGCTGCCTGTCACCCGTTGCTCTCTTCTGTTCCAAGACTTGATGCAGCAGCCCTGACCTGATCCCCAGCCCTTTTGGGATGAGTAAATTTGATGGGCAGGCTGTGACTCCTTGTGATAAAGCTCCAGCTACTGCTGTCTGGCATGGTGTCTGGTCGCTTCACGCCTTGCTCTGAAGCTGTGCTGCAGAAGGTTGCACAGAGGGTACGATGAGGGGTATTTAGCCCCTTTCTCTGCAGTGCGGTGAGTGTTGCCGTCTTCTCCTCTGCTCCCAGTGTGTCCCTTTTCCCCGGGTTCACGCTGCTGCTCGTGAGCAGATGCGACTTGTGGTAGAAATGCAGCAGGTGGGCAAATACCTGCTGTGCTTGTGAATGAGGAGGGTTGGTGCACTGCCCTGATGGTGGGGAACTGGTGGAGGGGGGAGGAAACTGGGGTTCTGGGCTTCGATTGCTGGAAGGGCTTGGCAGGGTTAAGGCTGGCTGCCGTTGTCCCTTGCTGTG